GTCGAGTCCTGCCGCCTTGTAGGCGCGAAGTATGACAGTTCTTATCCATATAGATATGGTGGTACGAGAGACTTCTGTCTGAGTTGTTGCCGATAAGGGGATGAATAATCGTTTGAGAAATTGTCGCCTTGTTTTGGAACGTCGTAAATAGATTTTGAGAGCTCTGACTGGGCATAGAGATAAGTCCAGTGTATCTTGAGATCCGAGAATCGAGGAGAGTGCAGGAATATGGAATAATCTGTCTGGTTGACCTGGCAATTGATTTTTGGCGATGAAATCCCATCTTAATCCCAGGTGCGCTGTGTTTTGATTGTCATCAAACTGTATCCTCTCATAATCTAGTGCGTGAATTTCTGACATCCTGGCTGCCGTGGCTAGAGATAACAGGAAAAGCGTTTTCTGTGAGAGAAATTCAAAGGTTGTCGATTCCAACGGTTCATAAGCCTCACTTGTGAGGTGTTGGACCACTGTTTTCAGACCCCAAGCTGGGGCGTGGAACTTCCGCTTCTGATCCTCCAATCGGAAAGCACGTAGTAAGGCCAGTAACTCTGGCGTCTTGGTTAGCTTGACACCCGTTCTCATAGTTATCACAGAACTAAGCGCGCGGCAAGATATGTTGACAATGTCGAGCCTTTTAAATGTTTGTTTTGGCGTAGGTAACACAAATAATCTGCCACTTGTGGATGTGTAGCATCTCTCGCTGTAAATCCCTTATTTGCTGCGTAATTTTCGAAACTGTGCCACTTGTCGTCGTACAAGTTACGTGTAGAATAGCGTAAGGCAAGCGTGACTGCTTTTGCCGCTCTGGTTGAATACCCTCTCTTGTTTAAACACATTTTAATACAGTCCATACGTGAAGTTGGAATACTTCTGGGCTTCCATGTACCTGTTTGGTGTGTGGATGTACTAATAGATTCGAGCGCTTTGGTTGCTCTAGTGTTGGTTGTCCGATTTCTTGAATTAGAATGGGAAACCACGTTCTGGCTGGCCAGTAGGGCGCGACCAAAGTGAGTTGGAGGCTCTGTGTTTGTCTGATTTTCTGTAACACTTGAGGGATTATCGCTGGCGGCGGAAACGCGTACGCATTGAGGCCTTCCCAGGATATGCTTAGAGCGTCCGTTGCCCATGCTTGTGGGTCCGGGACTGGTGATACGAATGTCGGTAGCTGATTGTTGAAGCGAGTGGCGAATAGATTTACTAGCGGAGCTCCTATTTGCTTGATAATCTGTGCAAAAATTTCTGTATGGAGCATCCATTCTGTCGGTGACGGTAGATGTGGCCGAGAGAGTGCGTCTGCTAGTACATTCTTGGCTCCGGGAATGTGACATGCTCTGACATGTAAGTTGAGATCGTCGATTAGATCGAACAGTTGAAAGCTTAAAGTCAATAGGTTCAGTGATCTCGTTGAGCCTTGTTTGTTCACATAAAACGCCACTGTCGAGTTGTCGGTATGAATCATCAGAGGCGCATTTTGTAGAATGGTGCCGTCCGGTTGGCGAGATGAGCTCCCCAACCCTGGAGCGACGCGTCTACATATAGATGGGTTTTGAATTCTGGCTCTGTTAAACAAATACCTTCGCAGACATTCAACCTTCTGGTCCACCATAGTAGATGAGGTCTGAGGTGTTTCGGTAGACTGAATGGTTGTAGGTCGTCGAGATGTGCATTGATGAAGACCTGTAACGGACGTAACTGTATTCTGCCTCTGACTGTCATGTCTTGGGCTGACGTGAGGAGACCCAACAGGCTCTGCCAATGTCGTAGTGGTAACGGAGAGAGTAGGGCTAGAGGAATGGTCTGTTGGATCTTGAGCCATCGGTCTTCTGGTACGACGATACGGTTGAGAGTCGTGATAAATCGAATGCCTAGAAATTGCAGATCTTGCGATGGTACTAGGTCCGACTTGAGTAAGTTTACTAACCATCCTAGCTGTGTTAGTAGCTTTATGATGTAGTTTAACTGTAGTTTGAGACGCTGTGGATCTTGATCTACTTGTATCCCGTCGTCGAGGTAGAATGCACTGCGTAGCCCTAGACGATGTAGATAGGTGACGATAGGTTTCGTTATCCTCGTGAATAGCCAGGGGGCCGATGATATTCCCGAATGGGAGTACTTTCCATTGGTAATGCAGCCCGTCTAGTGTAAATCGTAGGTATTTCCTGGATTCGGGATGTATCGGGATGTGTAGATATGCGTCTTGCAGATCTATACTGGCCATGTAATCCATGGGACGAATCAACTGCCGTAACTGAGGTAGATGTATCATGCGAAACGTTGGCGGTTTGCGTAGATAATCTCTGTTGAATATGCTCATGTTGTAAATGAGTCTGTATTTCTCCTTGGAGTTTTTCTTGGGTACTAGGAAAACTGGGGAGTAGAAGCCTGGTTCGACGTTTACTTGATCTAGTACTTCTATGGCCTGCTTGGTTAAGAGCGATGTAACAGCCTCTCTTAACTTTGGTAGTCGTTGTGCCTGGAAGGCGAACTTGTGAGGGTTGACTGTCAGCGGAGGCATGGCCTGTAGTGGGATACGATATCCGTGTTGAAGAATGTTGGAGACATAAGGGTCTTGTAACATTCCCCAGTTCTCCCAGTGTAGTTGAAGGCGTCCACCCACTTGTGATGGTTGTACTGGAACGGCTGGGGGTGGAAGACTCCAGTCGTTCCGAACCTGTCTTTCAACGTTTATAGTTGCGGGAACCTCTGGGTGCCCTGCCTCTTCCTGATCCTCCTCTGTAGTTGCCATATGGGCGACGAAAAAAATCTTTTCCCCTGGAGCTGGCCATCTTCCTATCCCGTGCTCTCTGTAATCCAGTGAATTTAGATTTCCCTGAATATCTTTGTGAAGTCTGCCTGATGACGCTGGCTAGCGTGTCCATAGACTTAATCATAAGGACTTCTCTAGAATCCTTAGTGACTTCCTTGGAGACTTTGTCTATTCCTCCGTCAAAGATGGATGGGGAAGACCACGGGGCTGTATAGAGTGGAGCTGTAAACTGCTCACCCCAGCTGCAGGAAGCAGGTAAGTATGCGCCGAGTTACCACTCTTGGAAGGTGAAGAAAGGTCTAGGTTGTTTACCATCCAATATCGTATCTCAGCGTCTGAGAAAATGATGCCTCCATCATCTTCTACCCCAGGATCGCTGATGAGAGGTTGATGCTCTTCAGATGGTGGACTGTGTGCTTCTACCACTGTACCGGGTGACGTTAGGGGAGACCTGACTGTGGACTTCTGTGAAGACTTGTGTGGTGACCTGCGAGGAGATCGACGTGGTGATGTACGAGGAGATCGGCGCGGTGAACGGCGAGGTGATCGGCATGGAGAATGGCGAGGGGATCGTCTTGGTGAACGTCCTGACGATCTGCGTCTATGGGTTGACCTTCGCGGAGATCTGTGAGGTGAATGTTGATAGCTTCGCGAAGCTCTTGTGGAATCCCTCGATGTCCTTCTGGACGAAGATGATTTGGAGCCTGATAAAGGTGCCCTTCGCGAAGCTTCCTCTGCGTCCGGTCCTGGGGAACGGCGACTTGACCTTCGCGAAGGCTTTCGTGAAGTCTGGTGGTCTGAGTCCGCATCTAAGGATGAAGCCGAGGTAGGTGATGATCTATCCCACCTTCGTGAAGGCTGTACATCTGGGTCCTTCGTCGAGGTGGTCTGTGACTTCCTTCGCGAAGGTGGCTTCGTCGTGGCCGCTACGTTGACGGGGGGTCCCCCTGGGGTGTCGTCTGCGTTGGAGACTTCGCGAAGGCTCAGGCCCTGGGCTGGTTGTTTCTCCAGTCTGTAGTGGTCCTCCATCATGATCATGATTTGCCGCATCAGTTCATCTGGGACGGTCTGCGACGATGTAGTCGGTGCCCTCTCTGCGATGTTAGCGGCGGGGCCCTCAGGGAGATCGTCCGACATCGGTGTAGACACCTAAGGCTGCATGGCGATCTCTGCTGACGTCACTGTAGCTGTCACCGGTCGTTTCTTGTGGCGTAGGTCGGGGATGATGATCGGCTGATCATCGTAGAGGCCCAGTTCGGCGGCTGGAATGATCTCGGCTGAGAAGGTTCTTGACGACTTCGTAGACTTTCCCTTGGAGGTAGATGCTGCCCTGGGGGTACGGAGTCTGCGTTGAGTAGACGTCGAGGCCCTCTTAGACTTTGGCTGCGATGATGGGATGTCTGGGGAAGCAGGACGCTTCTTGGAGGCGGCGGACTGCATCCCACGCCCCTCCTCCGAGGGAAACTCTAGCGGAACACCAGACGGGAGGGGGTCGACCAACAGCAGCTGACTGGCTAGGGGTTCCGATGTATCGGCCATGTCTAACCCTTGTTTGCGTGACCTATCTGCTGCACGTCTCAAGACGCAAAGATGATATTTATTAAAAGCAGAATTAGATAGATTAATGCAGTAACTGCAACGTGAATCAAACGCACAAGGCGTAGAACAACTAGGGCATATTACAAGTGGGTCAGCAGCAGAAAAACGTAATCTACAAATAGTACAGATTTTCATCAACGTAAAACTAGCTGAACAATCACGAACTCCCATGAATAAACAGTAGAAATACGAGTAATTATCAATACATATTAATGAAGGATACTAGCTATACCTCTATAGTAACCTATAGGAGGTAACTAACTAAGAATAACCAAAGGATATAGTGTGTAAGGAGACACAGGCGCTCTCACATCCTGCTCACTGGGCGAAGAAGGAGAGAGTGAAGCATGAGGCCAGAAGGTGGCGCCGCCTTTCCCGCGCAGGGGCAAAGGGAGGCAACTCTTGGTGAGTACTAATTAGTGATTTTACATTGAAGGGAGCTTCAATTAAGGAGATACAAGTGTTCCACTATGTTCGCAAGAAGAAGAAGACAAGCAAAAGAGCATGAGTCAGGATAAGGAAAAATTACAATTATAACCAGCTGGTACCATAAATTATTCTGCATTTCAAAGGACATATTTTGAGCCTAATGTTTATGATCCAGACAGTTTTCTTGGAAGTTCCCTGCACATACCTGTTGTGCTGCCTTGAGGTCCTTAACAAAGTTGACATTCAGGTCTCCCATCAGGATTAGTCCCTTGATGTGGTCTGGCTTGTACTGGGGAGGTACAAGGTCTTTAGATCAATACAAGCACTAAGGACCATCAATCTTAATGACCAGTTGGATGACAATACAGTTGTTCAAGCTGTATTTTGCTATGCATGTATACCTCACTGATTTCAAGTACAATCTGCCAAGACCAAGCATGTAGCATTATATACAAGTATACTCATCTGGAGACCTAATTCTTCACACATTATTGATTCCCATGGAAAAAATGCTTTCACAAAAAAATGAGAACACATGACACCATTATTGATTACATGATACTATGTAGTAGAACCTTGCTCCATGTAGAGCACCTGCTGGCCGTCACCTTCAGTTAGACAGTGTGAAACCAAGCTCAGTTGATATCTGTATTTATCAAATACCTATCAATAATATGGACCACTTTGCACATACAATACTGGCTGTCAGCATATGTCCATACTGACCACCCAGGCCGAAAATGCATATCAGCCCTAGGGCCGAAATTTCCATATCAGCCATATTGCCCATATTCTGATAAAAAGGCTCTCGGGTTGATATGGTAGTCTCAGGCTGATATGACTGGTGAAAGGAAAACTGTCATTTATTAACCTCTTAGTATAACATACTTTCAGCTGACTCTCACCTGTAGGAGTGTCCGGAGATAGCCGAGAGCATCAGCTGGTCGGTTCATGTCGTTCACCAGCATCAAGGCCATGTTAAACAGTCCACTAGGGAAGTTCTTTCTAATCTGTCAACACAACAAAACATCACTCCCATGTTAAACAGCCCACTAGGGAAGTTCTCCCTGATCTGTCGACACAACAAAACATCACTACCATGTTAAACAGTTCACTAGGGAAGGTCTCCCTGATCTGTCGACACAACAAAACATCACTACCATGTTAAACAGTCCACTAGGGAAGTTCTTTCTAATCTGTCAACACAACAAAACATCACTCCCATGTTAAACAGCCCACTAGGGAAGTTCTCCCTGATCTGTCGACACAACAAAACATCACTACCATGTTAAGCAGCCCACTAGGGAAGGTCTCCCTGATCTGTCGACACAACAAAACATCACTACCATGTTAAACAGCCCACTGGGGAAGGTCTCCCTTATCTGTCAACACAACAAAACATCACTCCCATGTTAAACAGTCCGCTAGGGAAGGTCTCCCTTATCTGTCAACACAACAAAACATCACTACCATGTTAAACAGTCCGCTAGGGAAGGTCTCCCTTATCTGTCAACACAACAAAACATCATTCCCATGTTAAACAGCCCACTGGGGAAGGTCTCCCTTATCTGTCAACACAACAAAACATCACTACCATGTTAAACAGTCCACTAGGGAAGGTCTCCCTTATTTGTCAACACAACAAAACATCACTACCATGTTAAACAGTCCACTAGGGAAGGTCTCCCTGATCTGTCAACACAACAAAACATCACTACCATGTTAAACAGTCCACGAGGGAAATTCTCCCTGATCTGTCAACACAACAAAACATCACTACCATGTTAAACAGTCCACTAGGGAAGGTCTCCCTTATCTGTCAACACAACAAAACATCACTACCATGTTAAACAGTCCGCTAGGGAAGGTCTCCCTTATCTGTCAACACAACAAAGCATCACTACCATGTTAAACAGTCCGCTAGGGAAGGTCTCCCTTATCTGTCAACACAACAGAACATCATTCCCATGTTAAACAGTCCACTAGGGAAGGTCTCCCTTATCTGTCAACACAACAAAACATCATTCCCATGTTAAACAGTCCACTAGGGAAGGTCTCCCTTATCTGTCGACACAACAAAACATCATTCCCATGTTAAACAGTCCACTAGGGAAGGTCTCCCTTATCTGTCAACACAACAAAACATCACTACCATGTTAAACAGTCCGCTAGGGAAGGTCTCCCTTATCTGTCAACACAACAAAACATCACTTCCATGTTAAACAGTCCGCTAGGGAAGGTCTCCCTTATCTGTCAACACAACAAAACATCACTACCATGTTAAACAGTCCACTAGGGAAGGTCTCCCTTATCTGTCAACACAACAAAACATCACTACCATGTTAAACAGTCCGCTAGGGAAGTTCTTTCTAATCTGTCAACACAACAAAACATCACTACCATGTTAAACACAACAAAACATCACTACCATGTTAAACAGCCCACTGGGGAAGGTCTCCCTTATCTGTCAACACAACAAAACATCACTCCCATGTTAAACAGTCCGCTAGGGAAGGTCTCCCTTATCTGTCAACACAACAAAACATCACTACCATGTTAAACAGTCCGCTAGGGAAGTTCTTTCTAATCTGTCGACACAACAAAACATCACTACCATGTTAAACACAACAAAACATCACTACCATGTTAAACAGTCCACTAGGGAACGTCTCCCTTATCTGTCAACACAACAAAACATCACTCCCATGTTAAACAGCCCACTGGGGAAGGTCTCCCTGATCTGTCAACACAACAAAACATCACTACCATGTTAAACAGCCCACTAGGGAAGGTCTTCCTGATCTGTCAACACAACAAAACATCACTATTATGTTAAACAGCCCACTAGGGAAGGTCTCCCTTATCTGTCAACACAACAAAACATCACTCCCATGTTAAACAGCCCACTGGGGAAGTTCTCCCTGATCTGTCGACACAACAAAACATCACTATTATGTTAAACAGCCCACTGGGGAAGGTCTCCCTGATCTGTCAACACAACAAAATATGTGGTCCAATGTTAATACATGCTCTTACAAACATGTTCACAAGTTAGACGAGGATCCTCGGCCTTTCCTAGGTCTGTGATGCTATCAAGGTTCATCCTACAGGTGGCATGGAAGGCTCACCTCTAGAGCTCGCTTGAAGTATTTCTCAGCAGCTATAAAGTCCTTGTCATCCATGGCCAGCATAGCCAGGTTAAAGAATATCTTGGAGTCCTCTGGGTCTTCTTCCATCAGCTTCTTCAACCTAAATACAAGAAGATCACATCAAGAGTACCTGCCATATTGAAGTAAGCTAAGATAACAGCTTGTTACAAAGCAGGAGCAGCAGTGTTTCATGAAATTCTTTCCGAAAGAGTAACTGTTTCACAACTGGTAAAGCACTAAGGAAACTGGTGATTTATCATAATCATGAAGAATGGTGAGACCTAAAACATTCAAGCTGGTGGTGTCCAATGTTTGCAAATGTCCTGACCAGCAGACCATTCATCCCAACCAGTAAGGAACCTGGTACGTATCATCCCTGTCAGGAAAAGTTCCTGGTCCATCAATATCATGCCTGTCAGTGAGGACCCTGTCAGTAAAGTCCTGGTCTATGTCATCCCCATCAGTATAGTCCTGGTCTATGTCATCCCCATCAGTAAAGTCCTGGTCCGTATCATCCCTGTCAGTAAAGTCCTGGTTCGTATCATCCCTGTCAGTAAAGTCCTGGGCCTAGATTTTCGAAGCTCTCTTAGAGCTAAGATAGTCGCAAGTTAATGTTAATGAATGGCACTTACGACTATCTTAGCGTTAAGAGAGCTTCGAAAATCTAGGCCCAGGTCCATATCATCGCTGTCAGTAAAGTCCTGGTCTGTATCATGCCTGTCAGTAAAGTCCTTGTCCGTATCATCCCTGTCAGTAAAGTCCTGATTCGTATCATCCCTGTCAGATAAGTCCTGGTTCGCATCATCCATGTCAGTAAAGTCTTGGTCCATATCATCCCTGTCAGTAAAGTCCTGGTCCATATCATCCCTGTCAGTAAAGTCCTGGTCCATATCATCACTGTCAGTAAAGTCCTGGTCCATATCATCCCTGTCAGTAAAGTCTTGGTCCATATCATCACTGTCAGTAAAGTCTTGGTCCATATCATCCCTGTCAGTAAAGTCTTGGTCCATATCATCCCTGTCAGTAAAGTCTTGGTCCATATCATCCCTGTCAGTAAAGTGCTGATTCGTATCATCACTGTCAGTAAAGTCCTGGTTCGTATCATCACTGTCAGTAAAGTCTTGGTCCATATCATCCCTGTCAGTAAAGTTGTGGTTCGTATCATCCCTGTCAGTAAAGTCCTGGTTCGTATCATCCCTGTCAGTAAAGTCCTGATTCGTATCATCCCTGTCAGTAAAGTTGTGGTTCGTATCATCACTGTCAGTAAAGTCCTGGTTCGTATCATCACTGTCAGTAAAGTCCTGGTCCATATCATCGCTGTCAGTAAAGTCCTGGTCCATATCACCCCTGTCAGTAAAGTCCTGGTTTGTATCATCACTGTCAGTAAAGTCCTGGTCCATATCATCCCTGTCAGTAAAGTCCTGGTTTGTATCATCATCACTGGTCACCCCTGTCAGTAAAGTCCTGGTTTGTATCATCACTGTCAGTAAAGTCCTGGTCTGTATCATCCCTGTCAGTAAAGTCCTGGTTCGTATCATCGCTGTCACTAAAGTCCTGGTCGGTGCCATTGCTGTCAGTGAGAACCCTGGTTCCATCAGTATCATCGCTGTGAGTGAGGACCATGGTCAACTGCTCCCACCTTCTGTAGGCCTCAGGCCTATCCCTGGGATCCCCTCCTTCTTGCAACAGTATTGCTGAGTTGAACAGCGTTTGCTGAAACAAAGCAAACATAAAAAGATTCAACAATGTCAAATTCCAACATTATTACCCCATGAAGTCTGAACATGTCTTGAATTACTTGAATGTCAAGAATATAAGATTGAACAAAAGAAAAGCACAATGGTTGCTGAATCTTTTGTATGAAGAAAGCTATGGTTTTGATATGTGAGCATATGAACATCAACTTATAAATTGTCTGCATAACTAATGTCAGCTAAGTCAAAGATATCATAAATGCCTGAAGATTCCTTCAGTAATTCTGCTTTCAACTGAATTTAGAACTGAGAAAATTATGCATCTAATTTTGCTATATTTTTATATCACATGAAAAACACACATAAGTATTGTTCTCTCTCATGGATATGTTACTTTCTGCAAATGTATTGGGAAATGTCTGTTTTCTTGTGATCACATAAAGCCTATCAAAGGGGTGGGAGAAGTATTGCTCACTGTGTGGTCGGGGTTGTGTACAAGGGCTGCCTCGAAGTACTTTTGGGCATCATTAAACCGCTTCAGCTCCAGGCTGACCACGCCTAGCTGTGGAGAAACAACCTTCCATCATCACTGCATTGAAAATATTCTTGTCAAAGCTGCCATGCAAGCATCTTCCTGAGGCAAATTAAATGACTACAAAGTCCAGTCTGCGCCCTAACCATGCCAGCCAGGGTTTCTGGTATGTTTTGATTAGACTAACAAGTCTTGGCATTGCCCAATCCAACTATATATCAAAATCGACATCCTGTTTGTAAACACGAAGACTATGGTTAATTGAAGGATTTACAAAACTCTGTGTGATCAAACACATAAATCAGGAATCCATAAATATTTTTCAAATCTTTTCAAGTTTTTAATCAACATGCTCAAGTGATACACAACAATTTAAATGGACTTTTAGTAAGTCTACACATGATATATTGATCAGTGTCAGGAAGACAAATAGGTTAGGCAAAGAAAATAAAAGAGAAGAATGAAAAAGTTAGCCTAACTAAGATGGTGCTTCTGCCTCTGTGGCTCTTGAGTACTGTTAAGTGATAAGTAACAGTAGATGAGTCTTTGGTTTACAACTTTAAGCCCAAGACTAAAGATCAAACATTTCCTCCTCCAAAGAAGGCAAGTCTATTCCTTTCGCTGGCAAGGGAATGTCTTCAGTTTCAAATGGATCAGAGATTCAAAAGGATCTTACAAATGACTGCACCCTTAAAAGTCAGACCAATAATGACCATTATCACATAAATCTGCTGGGGCCACTGCCAGAGAGCAGTTGTCGCACTGACTGCAATACATGTCTCTGGCTTTGAAGTCACACATTCATCAGATATTCAACCATCATAATTCCAACTCATCCCAAACTTGAAAGAAAGAACTGTCTGGTAAGCATTATACAAATGATGATGACAACGTTTCTGCCGTGGAGAACATTTTACACCACAAGGATAAAGCCTTCTACACCAGTGGGCTCGAGGCACTCTAGCACGGATGGGCAGAATTGTTTTGACCTTGCATGGGATAATGTAGAAACAATATTTAGCAACAAACTCCTACATAGTCTGGGTAGAACTTAGTCATCATCAATAAATACTACAGTCCCACCCTGTTATACTCAATATTCAATAATTCTCTTACACACCAAAAAGCCAAGACATTGATCAGTGACAGTTGACAGAAAGGTGTACAGAGAGAAGCATATACTGAATACCCTTCCACTACTCCTGGTACTTATGTCAGCTTTATGCAACTCTTAGGGGAATGATTACTTACATTGTAATAGATGTCAGCATTGTCATCGTCCACCTTGAGGGCCTGCTGGTATACCTGCAGAGCCTCCTCTCTCCTACAACACATAATACTCCACATAGTCATCCATGTCTACCTGCACAAACATCAACATGTCTACCTGAACACACATCAACATGTCTACCTAGACACACATCAACATGTCTACCTAGACACACATCAACATATCTCTACCTAGACACACATCAACATGTCTACCTACACACATCAACATGTCTACCTAGACACACATCAACATATCTACCTAGACACACATCAACATGTCTACCTAGACACACATCAACATATCTACCTAGACACACATCAACATATCTACCTAGACACACATCAACATATCTACCTAGACACACATCAACATATCTACCTAGACACACATCAACATGTCTACCTAGACACACATCAACATATCTACCTAGACACACATCAACATATCTACCTAGACACACATCAACATATCTACCTAGACACACATCAACATATCTACCTAGACACACATCAACATATCTACCTGGACACACATCAACATATCTACCTAGACACACATCAACATATCAACATATCCTGGACACACATCAACATATCTACCTAGACACACATCAACATATCTACCTAGACACACATCAACATATCTACCTAGACACACATCAACATATCTACCTAGACACACATCAACATATCTACCTAGACACATCAACATAGACTAGACACACATCAACATATCTACCTAGACACACATCAACATATCTACCTGGACACACATCAACATATCTACCTAGACACACATCAACATATCTACCTAGACACACATCAACATATCTACCTGACACACACATCAACATATCTACCTAGACACACATCAACATATCTACCTAGACACACATCAACATATCTACCTAGACACACATACAACATATCTACCTGGACACACATCAACATATCTACCTAGACACACATCAACATGTCTACCTAGACACACATCAACATATCTACCTGGACACATCAACATCTGGAACATCAACATGTCTACCTGGACACACATCAACATATCTACCTAGACACACATAAACATATCTACCTGGACACACATCAACATGTCTACCTGGACACACATCAACATATCTACCTGGACACATATAAACATATCTACCTGGACACACATCAATATATCTACCTGGACACATATAAACATATCTACCTAGACACACATCAACATATCTACCTGGACACACATCAACATATCTACCTGGACACACATCAACATATCTACCTGGACACATATAAACATATCTACCTGGACACACATCAACATATCTACCTGGACACACATCAACATATCTACCTGGACACACATCAACATATCTACCTGGACACACATCAACATATCTACCTGGACACACATCAACATATCTACCTGGACACACATCAACATATCTACCTAGACACATATCAACATATCTACCTGGACACACACATACCAACATCAACATATACCTGGACACAGGACACACATCAACATATCTACCTGGACACACACACATCACATCAACATGTCTACCTGGACACACATCAACATATCTACCTGGACACACATCAATATATCTACCAGGACACACATCAACATGTCTACCTAGACACACATCAACATGTCTACCTGGACACATATAAACATATCTACCTGGACACACATCAACATGTCTACCTGGACACACATCAATATATCTACCTGGACACACATCAACATGTCGACCTGGACACACATCAACATGTCTACCTGGACACACATCAATATATCTACCAGGACACACATCAACATGTCTACCTCAACACACTTCAACACATTTACCTGGACACACATCAACATGTCTACCTGGACACAAGTCTATTCTAACACACAAGTATGATTACAGATGTTAACTCAATTACTCACTTGCCCAGCTTCACCAGAACATCCCCTCGATTGATGTAGCCTTGGATGTAGTCAGACCTCATTGACACTGCTGTCTTCAGCAACTACACACAGAAAACACCATCAGCAATACAAGACACTATCACAGGAAGACTTTAGTCAAGTAGTCAAGTATGAAGACCACAGGCCCATATATAGTATTCATTTACACTAGATTACATGTGCACAGGAGTCGCTTCCTATATGTACAATTCAAGTATTTACAAAGATGTCTGGCAACATGTTCATGTTTTTAAATCATATATAATATCACTATATGAAACACAAATTAACACAAAAGGTTATTCATCTTCTATACCTGAATTACATGTCTGACATACTTGTTTATACAAATCAATACCCAGACATATTCTTTCATTTATTTTTAATCTTAGTAATCCTAAATATCTAAGAATATTTTGATACCTTTTATTCATGTTATAATATACATATTGTTCAGGTACGAGTAAACAGATGATGACATCCACACTCACTGTGTATCATTGTATTAGGAGTTTGCTTTAACCATAACATTCTCTAATTTGCATTCTAAGATGCCTAGCGGTTAGAACAATTGAAAAAAAAAAATGTAATTTTTGAAATAAAATTGATAATTTTATACTTATCCTGACTCATGATCTTTTGCTTATCTCCCTTTCCTTTTCGAATGGTCGTGGAACACTTGAATCCCTTGAAGTTCCCGAAGCGGACGTAAAAATACACTCACACACGAGTTACCTCCCTTTGCCCTTTCCCGCGCAAACCATTTAGGTGACCTGCCTTACTTGTCACTCTCTCCTGATTTTCTGCCCATGCACTTGGATCTGCTGTGAAATCTCAAGTGTCTTCAACAGGGGGCGTTGGGAGGGCTTGTTCGTCATGAGTCAGGATAAGTATAAAAATATCAATTTTACTTAAAAAATTACATATTTTTACTTATCCTGACTCATGATCTTTCGCTTATAGAATCCGACAGATTGGTGGTGGGTCAAGCCACTGAATGCAACAGCTGTCCTTAGATACGTCCTGTATCCCACACATGAGAACTGAGAAACAGCATTTCTGTGATCCTATTCTTCCAACTTCCGTTATAACTCAGGGGGACCACTTTCTTGACTTACTTCAATCTCAGACAAGTTGAATCACGTTGATTCATGTGGTTATAGATAAACTAGTATCTTCCTATTACTAGATATCCTATAACAACCCATAGATTATGATAAGATCTTTATCATAAATGAGTTGCGACCCCTTCACGTACAGGTAAGATGTTTACCCGTACAGGATCTTTAATCACTCATGCTAGCCTGTCCTAGACTGTGCACATAGACTTTCAAACTAATACTTTTCCTTAGTAAAAGTTATCAACAAGTCAACGAGATAAAGGGTGAGATTTTCCAACTCAGCGCCTTTGAGGAACCGTTAGTTGCTGTGCTACGAGAGGCCCAAATTGGTGAATGCCTGAGACGTCTTCAGTGGCTATGTCACGGAGGTAGTGCTTGGCAAACACCGTGTCCGACTTCCAAAAGCAGCCCTCCATAATTGTTGGTATAGAGCAATTTCCGTGCAGAGCCAGTGTTGACGCCAGTGCTCTGACTTCATGTGGGTTGGAAGCTCTAGGAGGTTCTAGTCCTGCTGCTTTATAGGCTCTCAATATAACGGCTCTAATCCAGAACGATATGGTCGTTCTTGAGACTTTTGCTGATGTCTCTGTTGATAATGGGATGTACAGGCGCTTGTATTTTCGTCTCCTCGTCTCAGTCTTTTGAAGATATATCTTCAGGGCTCTGACCAGACACAAGGATAGGTCGTCTATATCCTGTGGACCGAGGGTTGTAGACAGCGCTGGTACGTGGAACTGTCTATGTGGTTGACCAGATAGCTGGTTCTTGGCAATAAAGTCGAATCTAAGTCCTAGATGAACTGCATTATGTTGCCGGAACAGGAACAGCGTCTTCTGTGTTAGCAGCTTGAGTGTAATCTGGTCCAGTGGTTCGTAGACATCACTGGTAAGATGACATAGAATAACATTCAGATCCCAGGCTGGAGCTCTGAATTTATTTTGCTGGTCCTCCAGTTTAAAAGATCTCAGCAGAGCAAGTAATTCTGATACTTTCATCAACTTGATGCCTGTTTTCATGGTAATCACTGTACTGATAGCAGCAAGGTATGTAGATAATGTCGAACCCTTCAGATGTCTGGTCTGTCTAAGATGACACAGATATTCCGCCACTTGAGGATGAGTGGCTATCATCGCAGCCTTTCCGCCTTGCATAAGTCTCAAACTTCAGCCATTTGTCGTCATATAGGTTACGAGTAGATCTGCGTAATGCTAGCGTTACTGCTTTGGCTGCCCTGGCGGAGTATCCTCTTTTCTTCTAGCATGTTTTGATACAGTCCACTCGTGTAACTGGAACACTGTCGGGTTTCCGTTTCCGGATGTATGAGTAGGTTCGGCCAATCTGGTAATTTGATTACTGGGTTTCCGAGATCTTCTATTAGGTCTGGGAACCATGCTCTCGCTGGCTAGTAGGGCGCGACGAAATTCAGTTGTAGCGTCTGAGTCTGTTTGATCTTGAACAGTACTTTTGGCAGTAGTATCAGGGGGGGAAAAGAGTAGACGTTTAATCCTTCCCGTGACATGCTCAGTGCATCTGTTGCCCAGGCTTGAGGATCTGGAACTGGCGAGACAAACGTCTGTAGTTGTTTCTTGAACCTCATGGCAATCAGGTCTATGCAAGGGGATCCTATCTCCCTTATGTTCCGAAACGCTTCTGGATGGAGCATCCAGGTGGCATCGTAGGTGACGGGTGTAGTGGTCTTGAGAGAGCGTCTGCCAGTACGTTCTTGGCTCCGGCTATGTGACACGCCTTTATCTAGATGTTTGCTTCCTATGTGATCTGGAACAACTGGAATGTGAGCTGCAATAGGCTTGGAGACCTTGTGGATCCTTGCCGGTTTATGCAGAACGCCACTGCAGAGGATGTCCGTGTGGATCATCAGTATTTTGTTGTTCAGCAAGCTGGCCTCCATAAAATCTGACGCAATTAGTTGGTTGAGTAAAAGCGAGCGTAATTCTACGCCGCTCATATAAACCTCTCGACTAAGGGTTGCTCCAAGTGTAAATTCTTGTTTAGTGATATAAATCACTTATTCCCAGCATGATGAAGGAGGCTGTCGAGACGTATGTCTGTATGGATCTTGAAGAAATACCGATGTTGAATCTAGTTGATAGGATATAAATTCCTAATCCCCACGCTGAGTGACGAGTGTTAATAAGATCATCTGTACATCCATTCAAGGATACTTGAAGGCGTTGTTAACCTTAAGCCCTTTACAAAGGTCGCCTTGAGGTTCTCCAGTACTTGAGATATTGGCTTCATATGTGATATCATATTGGAGTCGAAGTCATCAGCTTATATGCAGTACGTCTCTGTTGGGTTGGAGTGAGTGAGTGAACGACAATATCCGCAGGCCATCTGCTACCTGCTATAAGACCTCAGCATCCGTGTAGATGAAGGGTTTCCTTTCATCAAGTAGGTTGTCGTCCGAAACTGAACTTATACAGGTATAAGGTTTGTGCAGGTTGTAGAGTTGTGCAGGCTGTAACTGTAGAGATCGCACATGTTGTAGATCTTTTGTTGAGTTTTAAACTCTGACAAAACCCTCCGTTTTCATCATAGCTTCGTTTTATTCAGCTGTATGGTAATAGAGTCGACGTCAACATCCTGCCTGTTGATGTAAGGGTTTGTCTGCGTTGCTGTTATCGGCCTGTAGATCTAAGAGTCGAACCTTGTAGATGTCTGTAGCTTTCTCAAAGCTGTGCGTATGTTAGAAGGTACCTTGGATATAGGTTCAATCGGAGGGATTGTGACAGAGTCGAAGTCATCGTTGAGCATCATATAAGTGTAGACTTCATCTTTATCCTTAGAAGGAGACTCCAAGTTCAACCCGTTAGCAATCCATGCTGTAACTTCTGAGTCTGGAAGACGAAGTCCATTTGCAAGTCCGAAGTCTCCTGATTATTAGAGCTAGGTCTCAACAATTCATCCATCTGCGAACCTGTTTCCCTTCTCGAACCTTCATCCTCGTTTCGCAAACCTCTATCTGAAGATTTCCCTATCTTGATTTCGTCTATCTTGAGAGTGTTCTCTCCGCAAACCTCTAGCTGTGGATACATCTCTTTGTGAACCTCTGTGAGGTGAGCTATCTCTTCGCAAACGTCTATCGTAGGGCGAACTCCTGTGATGTGAGTCTTCTCTTCGTGAACCTCTGGCTTGAGGTGAGTAACTTCACGAACGTCTGTGAGAGATATGAGATCTCGACCTAGAGCGGCTCCGTGTAGGAGCTGGATCCTTCAATGTTCTCGAACTTTGAGGGTTCGCAGATGTAGAATTGAGTGTAGGCATCTCATGTCTTCTATCCTCCTCCAAGATGACAGGGTCGTCAGACTGTGGAGACCTGCGCAAAGGTGTACGTTCGCCAACGTAGTCTTGAGACGTAGTTCTATGAGGAGTAGATTCGCGCAGGCCCATGGGTTCGCACAGGTCCGTAGGTTTGTGCGCGGTGTCGGTAGATGAGAGGCTTTTCCTAGCCTTCGATTCCTCCTGGAATCTACGTTCCATCATGGCCATCATCTGGTTGGTGAATTGTGTCATAAATTCCCCTGGGTCGAAGTTCTGCATAGGTTGACGCTGCTGCGGTGTAGATGAAGCCCTCGCATGAACGTTGATGAGTCATGTGCCTCAACTAAACTCCGAGAAGTAAGAGGTAGTATGTCGAACAGGTGTCCTGCTGTGACTGTTGTAGGGGACGATCTTGTAGTAGTAGAGGTCATTGAGTCGCTGGTAGAAGTAATGGGGGTAATGGGGGTTTCGTCAAAAACGTCTAGTTTGTGAGGAGGTACAATCTCTTCGTTGAAGGATTTCTGGTGCGTGGATGAGCTAGCACGCGTAGATTTGCCCTCCAATCTGGTAACAGCTGACTTCTTCTGCGTTGTAGAAGAGGATGACGTCTGTTTCTTAGTCTGAGACAGAGTCGATTGAGATGTAAACGATCTCTTCCTGGTCCCCTTATCAGCAGACTGACCCTGTAACGCACTAAACATAGCCCCAGTATTATGAACATCGGCAGTAGCAAGCAACATACGGTTTGAAGGCTGATCTGCAGTTTTATCAATCGTGACTTGAGATGACTTTCTCACCCGACCCATGGCACGTCTATAAATATAAGACAAATATTGATTAAATTGAAGATTTGATAAATCAATACAGTAAGTACAGCGCAAGCTGGAGGAACATGGATTTATGCATGAAGGACATTGGGGGTGAGGATCAGCCACAGATAACCTGTGCCTGCAAACACTGCAGGATTTCATGAAATGTAAACAAAGTTACATGAAGATCAAATTATGACACAAATACAAATAATGTTTCCAATTTTTTTACATATAATACAATGTAGTTATAGCCAAATCCTTACACAATGTAATTTGAAGAATAGGACCTAAATAAAAAGGATATACTGCCGTATACAGGACTCCAGTGCTCGCCAAACCATCCACTTGGGCGAAAAGGGAGTGAGTGGAAAGTAAGGCTGGTCACCTAACTGGTTTGTGCGGGAAAGGGCAAAGGGAGGTAACTCGTGGGTGAGTGTATTTATACATCCGGCTTCGAAACTTCAAGGGATTCAAGTGTTCCACTACCATTCGAAAGGGAAAGGGAGATAAGCAAAAGATCATGAGTCAGGATAAGTAAAAATAAAACAATTGAATGACGTTATCCCGTCACTGCGCCATTCTAGTGTGCCCCCTCGTAATTGAACCATTTTACATTACGTCACAATGTAAGCGACGTCACGATGCATGTCGGTTGTCATTGCCTCGTACGGAGTAAAATACTCCGTTGCATCCGTTTCTTGGTTTGCAGTTGCTTCATGCAGCTAACATCACTGGTGGAAACATAACGTTTATGTTTTACGACGGTTAAAATGTGTCAATTCAATCGTGGAATGTCACTTGACTACTCAGCTTCATCTGGATGTACTGATCTAAACTTATGTTGGTAGTAGAAATGCAACGTTCATATTGCCCCATATGGTTTACATTAATCACAGATGTAATTAAAACAATTTAGAGAAGATATTTAGTCTGATCATAAACTGTTTATCATTTGTTTTTCTGGTAACGTTCGTCTTAACGTAGGGGGGCAGACACATCAATAGAACAGGGCACCAGTTAGCCCTGTGCGAGGATTCTTAATTTAGGTCACCGACACCGTCGTTTGTTTTCTGCCTTAAATTAATTGTAATTATCCTTAGAAAGTATTAAATTTGGCATCTTAGAAAAGAAATACAGTTCGCTCTACCACCATGTATAAAGCACACTTTTGCCCTGAACTATTATTGTAGACGTTAAATAAGTTTAGCCATGACAGTGGCCCCGGATCTTTATCTGTGATACAAGATAGCCAAGACTTAGTTCATCTACAATCTGGCTATGACAGTGACCCGGATGTTGGAGGCACCAGCTAGTCAAAACTTACATCATCCGCCTCCTGCAGTCTATCTGGGTTCTTAGAGACCAGGCTTGCCAGGTTGAGGTAAACATTCAGGTGGTTTGGGGCAATCCTGGTAGTGTAGCTCTTACCTGCAGGGAACATGAACAGTCATTATCTGGAGTCCCTACTCCCTACAAGCCAGGCCTTACTTGTCATCAGCTATCTTCCTCTGCAGGACCACGAACACATTTATCAAGAGCCAAATACTGAGGTCGAATCATTTCTTAGACAGGCCATGTGAGTATCTTGATCATCACGAGAACACGGTACAAAACAGGAAAGGGTAAACCAAACCTTGACACAATGATGGAAAGAGGCACATTTAATATGCAGCAGGGACATATCACCATACCAGGTATAACAGGGGGGAAGAGAGCTAGGGCACTCCTGTAAGCTTTCTCTGCCTCTTCAGTTCTGTTCAAGGTAGACAGTGTCCGACCAACATTTATATGTGCACCGATGTCATCAGGCTGAACACTGCAAATATACACACAAAACTGACAATACATATCTCCAACATATTACAGAGTACATGACATGACATTCTAGCCTGAAACCTGGGTCTGGACTTGATCACCTGATGGCTCTCTGGAAGTATCCAGGGCCTCGAGTTGCTCACCTAACAGCTCTCTGGAAGTACTCCAGGGCCTTGCCTTGTTCACCTGACAGCTCTCTGGAAGTACTCCAGGGCCTTGCCTTGTTCACCTGACAGCTTTCAGGAAGTACTCCAGGGCCTTGAGCTGCTCACCTGATGGCTCTCTGAAAGTACTCCGAGGCCCTGAGTTGCTCACCTGACAGCTCTCTGGAAGTACTCCAGGGCTTCACTGTATTCCTCCACCTTCTCCAGGGCATGTCCCACATTGTTGAACAGCTTGGCGTTCTTCTGGTTTACTTTCAGCCCTGATTTGAACAGTGTGTACTCAGATTCCCTGACAACACACAGACAACTTATGACGTCAAGGCAGATTTTGCAGGTACTTGCATTTAAATATTTCTCAAGTAGCTTCAGTCAGTGGAAACTGACACAATCCATTTGAAAGGATTGGACATGAGGATCACCAGTTCCATTAAAGAGACAAAAGTACATGTGTAGTTATCATGGGAGTGGACATCTACTGACCAGTCATTGTTACGTAGAACTGTCTTGATGCTGTGTGTCAGAATGAGTCCAGCCATCAGTATCTGCACCAACAATTTCAGAGACCTGGTGATAGAAGAACATAAATATCAGTAATGTGGTTCCACGGAAACAACCAGGTCAGTAACAAGGGGACTGGGCAACATCAAGCTACCTACACAAAAGCTAATCTGACACGCCTGTGTCAAGCTGACCTCCCCCACTGAGTAGCTTACTGTTTCTAGTGAACCAGTACCCAAGTCTGTGTCAAGCTGACCTCCCCCACTGAGTAGCTTACTGTTTCTAGTGAACCAGTACCCAAGTCTGTGTCAAGCTGACCTCCCCGACAGAGTAGCTTACTGTTTCTGGTGAATCAGTACCCAAGTCTGTGTCAAGCTGACCTCCCCCACTGAGTAGCTTACTGTTTCTGGTGAACCAGTACCCAAGTCTGTGTCAAGCTGACCTCCCCCACTGAGTAGCTTACTGTTTCTGGTGAACCAGTACCCAAGTCTGTGTCAAGCTGACCTCCCCCACAGAGTAGCTTACTGTTTCTAGTGAACCAGTACCCAAGTCTGTGTCAAGCTGACCTCCCCGACAGAGTAGCTTACTGTTTCTGGTGAACCAGTACCCAAGTCTGTGTCAAGCTGACCTCCCCTACTGAGTAGCTTACTGTTTCTGGTGAACCAGTACCCAAGTCTGTGTCAAGCTGAGCTGACCTCCCCACAGAGTAGCTTACTGTTTCTAGTGAACCAGTACCCAAGTCTGTGTGTCAAGCTGACCTCCCCACTGAGTAGCTTACTGTTTCTAGTGAACCAGTACCCAAGTCTGTGTCAAGCTGACCTCCCCCACTGAATAGCTTACTGTTTCTGGTGAACCAGTACCCAAGTCTGTGTCAAGCTGACCTCCCCCACTGAATAGCTTACTGTTTCTGGTGAACCAGTACCCAAGTCTGTGTCAAGCTGACCTCCCCCACTGAGTAGCTTACTGTTTCTGGTGAACCAGTACCCAAGTCTGTGTCAAGCTGACCTCCCCCACAGAGTAGCTTACTGTTTCTAGTGAACCCGTGCATACCCAAGTCTGTGTCAAGCTGACCTCCCCACTGAGTAGCTTACTGTTTCTGGTGAACCAGTACCCAAGTCTGTGTCAAGCTGACCTCCCCCACTGAGTAGCTTACTGTTTCTGGTGAACCAGTACCCAAGTCTGTGTCAAGCTGACCTCCCCCACTGAGTAGCTTACTGTTTCTAGTGAACCAGTACCCAAGTCTGTGTCAAGCTGACCTCCCCCACAGAGTAGCTTACTGTTTCTAGTGAACCAGTACTCCCCAAGTCTGTGTCAAGTCTGTGTCAAGCTGACCTCCCCACTGAGTAGCTTACTGTTTCTGGTGAACCAAGTGACCCCAAGTCTGTGTCAAGCTGACCTCCCCTACTGAGTAGCTTACTGTTTCTAGTGAACCAGTACCCAAGTCTGTGTCAAGCTGACCTCCCCCACAGAGTAGCTTACTGTTTCTAGTGAACCAGTACCCAAGTCTGTGTCAAGCTGACCTCCCCCACAGAGTAGCTTACTGTTTCTGGTGAACCCGTACCCAAGTCTGTGTCAAGCTGACCTCCCCCACAGAGTAGCTTACTGTTTCTAGTGAACCAGTCCCCAAGTCAGTCCCCAAGTCTGTGTCAAGCTGACCTGCCCCACTGAGTAGCTTACTGTTTCTAGTGAACCCGTACCCAAGTCTGTGTCAAGCTGACCTCCCCCACAGAGTAGCTTACTGTTTCTAGTGAACCCGTACCCAAGTCTGTGTCAAGCTGACCTCCCCCACTGAGTAGCTTACTGTTTCTGGTGAACCAGTATCTGGAAGCCCAGCGCCACCAACATGCAGAAGCCCATGCTGGGAGTGTAGAGGATTCTCTCTGCCACCACGAAGCCCACGGGGAAAAACAAGTTGGAGGCAGGAACAAATGGAAGGACTAGAAATGATAAAGACTGAAACATACAAAATATAGGAAGTGAAGTAAGTATAATGCTACACCCTAACAACTACTTCTACAAACAGAGAAAACAACTTACCTTTTAACAAAGACATTAACCTACCATCTATAACAACAACACCGCACCAAGTGTTAGACATTAAGAACAAGTGTGAAGAGCAACTGTTCATAGTCTGCATATAAGTAAACACAAATCACAAATAACGTGACCACAGAAACAAGATGAAAACCTTACAATGGCATATTCTTTCTACTAAAAAACATACAAAAATAGCTCACCATGATAATACACCTTGATCTTTGACACTGACCGCTGAGAGCATAAGTCACAAACTTGACAATCATTGCATAGAAGATAAGTGTGAAGATATTTCTATAGTCCGTGATGCTCTCTATGAGTGGAATGGTCCCCATCGTCCAGTCACAGCATAGAAGGGAGGGGTTGAGCAACAGCCACGAGTTGACTGGCAGCAAGTAGTTGAAAGTCAGATGCCTCGCAGGGAAGTCTGCCACTGATGCTGGGTTGTCAAACCTGCAACAGGACCAGCAGGTGGTGAGTGATGGGATATACCTACATCAGTAATCAAAGTCTAAGATGCTGGGTTGTCAAATCCTGTAACAGAACCAGCAGGTGGTGAGTGATGGGATAAACCTACATCAGTAATCAAAGTCTAAAATGGAAAAAGGTGGAATCAGTCTACCCTGCCTACCTAACGGAGCAGTCGACAATGCCAAGCCTCCCCCCAGGGCGACTGAGGTTAACACCCATTCATCCACCACCGGAACCAGAACCAGACAATCGTCCCCAAGCTGGTATCGCTTAACAAGCTCAGGCAAGTCGAAGAGCAGGCTGCCTGAAAGCAAGGGGGCGACCACATCATGGACCAGAGATGGCAGAACACGGAGCTGAGTCTGAGTAGACTGCCTAGGAGCAAAAGCCTCCCCCGGAAGGCGGAACTCAGTCCAGTCCTGTCATTCTAACAGCACTGTGGCCCAACAAGAGACCCAGCCAAAAGCCGTGCCGAGGTAGCCAGGGGAAATCAGGACTTAGACAGGCTTCCCTCTCCGGAAACCGCATACAAGACAGTCCCGCGTCTCAGGAGCATGCACTGGCAGAACAGTGGGCTCTGAGCTCAAGGGCACCCCGAGCGAACACATCAAGAAGTACTGGGCGCAAACCCTCCCTCTCAGCTGAAGCCGAAGCCACCGGACCCCACGCCAAGGTCGTCCTGGCCCATTGATTTAACCGAGGCCGGCGATCCCATAAATGACCTCTCGGTCTTCCCACCGAAAAGCATAAATGTAATGTTTCCACCAGTAAAGTGGAGTAGTTTACCGCAGGAGACTATAAGAAGCGATGACAACTGACATGCATTGTGATGTCAGTTACCAAGGGTACATTTGGTTACGAGGGGGCAGGCGAAAATGGCTTAGTGACATCATTACAGTGTGATGCTATGCAAAAAAGTGTATTTTATCGCCTGATAAAGTACTGTCAGGGCCTTTGATCTTTTTAGAGAAACATCTTAGAATGACAAATATAGTCAAGGGACTTTAACCAAGCGGCACTTTCTGGGTACATTCAAAAGTGTTAATGGAATTAATCCTTTTAATTAAAGTAATAAAAAATGTGTGATGCTACTCACAATAATCAAAGCAGTTGGGGTTTGATTGCATTTTACTCCTAAATATCAACACATTTCAGCATGCCTAATCTGACCTGGTAAACACTGGCAGCTGTGCTCCCATCACTTTGATTCTGGCAAACAACATCAGCAGAGTGCTGCCTACAAGGAACACCATCCGCACAACTGACATGGACAACCATCTTGGCACCCGTGGCTTCCCTCCCAGCAGGCTTTGCAGGAAATCAACCAGCTCCCAGAAAGAGGCCTGGTGTTTGAAACAACTTTGTAAAAATATGTAATTTTTATGATAAAATTCATATTTTATACTTATCCTGTCTCATGCTTTATTGCTTATCTCCCTTCTCCTTTTGACGGTTATATGGAAACTTGAATCCCTTAGTTCCCTGAAGAATCGTAAAATCACTCACCCACGAATTGCCTCCGTTTTCCTGCCAAAACTGTTTCATGTGACTTGAGCCCAGCTCTCATCACTCTCTCCTGATAAGCCCACACTAGGTCTTACAGTGAAGCCTGTAGTGTTGAGAGGGGACGGTTGGGAGGGCTTTAGACCATGAGTCAGGATAAGTATAAAATATGGTAAGGGCTATTACCACAACATAATCGCGACCCATATGTTAAGGCAAGGGTGTGACCATAACTGAGTCTATATCACTCATGATTTATCTTGTAAGACAGGGAAACATGGACTTTCCACCAACGGCAACGTGTCTGTTACCTTAGCATCAACAAGCCTGCGTGATGAGGGTGAGTTTCTCGAGCTGGAATTGTGAGTTGTTGCGCTACAACAAGTGGGTCGAACTGATCGATACCAGTTACATCTTCTGTAATGATGTCTTGAAGATAGTGGTTGGCAAACACTGTGTCCAATTTCCAAAAGCAGCCTTCCATGATGGATGATAGAGAGCAATTCCCATGTAGCGTGAGTGTCGAGGCTAATGCTCTAGCTTCGTGAGGGTTGGAGACTCTAGGAGGGTCCAGCCCTGCTGCTTTGTAGGCTCATAGGATGACAGCTCTGATCCAATACAATATAGTATACGGTATAAAGAGACGTTTGAACTTCCCCCTTATTGTAGCAGTCCATTGTAAGTAGATTTTTAAAGCTCTGACTGGCCATAATGACAAGTCTTCTGTGTCATGTTGTCTGAGGACTGAGGACAATGCCGGGACATGGAATTGATGATCTGGTTGGCCAGGTAGTTGATTCTTAGCTATAAAATCCTAACTTAGTCCAAGATGGTATGTAGCATGCTCTCCGGAGTTGAACTTAATTCATCCGTAGTCAAGGGAGTGTATTTCTGACATCCTAGCCATTGTAGCTAAGATGAAGAGGAATAATGTCTTTTAAAGTAGCAATTCAAAAGTTGTGTCTCTCGGTGGTTCATAGTCGTCGCTGGTAAGGTGTTGCAGCACTATGTTGAGGTCCCATGCTGGAGCTCTAAACTTTTGCTGCCGATCCTCTAGTTAAAATGATTTCAGTAGAAAGACGAGTTCAAGTACTTTGGTGAGTTTGACTCTCGTGTTCATGGTGATAACGGAGCTGATTGCAGCCAAGTATGTTGAGAATGTAGATCCCTTCAAGTGTCTAATAGCTATCAAATGGCATAAATATTCTGCTACTTTAGGATGTATAGCTTCCATGGCCGAAAATCCTTTGCAAGTAGCAAACTGGTCAAAACTTCATCATTTATAATCGTAGAGATTCCTAGTTGAACGTCTTAAAGTTAGTGTAACTGCCTTAGCAGCTATAGTGGAATATCCTCTTTTTCTCAGGCAGTAAGCAATACATTCCATACGTTTTAACGCAGTCCTGTTGGGTTGCATGAGGTTGTTTTGTGTGAGGATGGATCGGTAGATTCGGCGAATCTGGTAGACGCAGTGTTGGTTTTCCTACAAGTTATAGGAGGTCTGGAAACCAAGCTGTTGCTGGCCAGTAGGGCGCGACCAAAATCAGTCTGAGGACTTTGGTTTATGCAATCTTGCATAGTACTTGAGGTAGTAGTATCGGTGGTGGAAATGCGTAAGCATTTAGATCCTCCCAAGATATGGCTAGAGCATCTAGAGCCCAAGCTTGTAGATCCGGTACTGGTGAGATGAATGTTGCAATTTGATGATTGAAGCGTGTCGCAAATAGCTCTACGAGAGGACCTTGGTCTGTGATGAGCATTTGGAATGCTTCCGAATGTAATATCCACTCGCGGGAGATGGTCAGACTGGTCTGGATAAGGCGTCGGCTAAGACGTTCTTTACTCCTGGAATGTGACAAGCTTTCATCCATAAGTTGAGGTTGTCTGCTAGGTTGAAGAGTTTGAACATCAGTTGCAGTAGTTGTGCTGATCTCGTTGAGCCTTGAAGATTTATGTAGAACGCTACTGTTCAGTTGTCCATCTGAATCATAAGTATTTGATTCCTCAATGCATGCACCCAGTTTTCAACTGCCTCGATAATCATCTTGAATTTCAGTTGATTTATGTGTAAGGTTCTTTCTTCTAGGGACCAAACTCCTGATGCAACCTCTTCATTGAAGTGTGCTCCCCATCCTTGTAGAGATGCATCTACGAAGAGATGTAGATTGTAGGTTGGATCTTGTAAATAAGTCCATCGCAGACTTTCGACTTGTTGGTAGCGGTGGGAATCGGTTGAAATTCATAATCGATTATCGGTTGCAATCGGATTGTCCCATCCGATCAATGATTGATTGTACAATCGGTTACACTGATTAAGAATAAATATTTCTTACAACTTGTGCAATTCCCAGGTAAACATTTGAACTCTTTTACAATACTGCAATACTGTATATTTGTCATTTTTTTAATCATGTCATAATAGTGAGCATTAAATGAAATATGTCAACTTTTGTGGTTGGTTTCTGTGAAAAGCGTGACTTGGGGGTGCATCTACAAGAACTTAAAAAGCTCCTCAATATAATATTTTCCATAAGTTTTAATTGTCATATGAGACAAAATTACAAACAATCCAAGTCTACATTGATCAACAAAAAAATGTGTACAAAAATAAATATTGACAGACTACCAAGATATATAAAAGATGACTGTTCAATTCACTCTTTTGCAGATTTTACACAATCACAACAAATCCTCACAATTTTTCCCAAATTTTGACCCACTTTTTACACTAATTTTCTGTATATTACCATAGATAAGCTGAATTTTGAGGACCAAAAATAGCAGTCTGTAGAAAAGGGTTGGCATATCTATGGGTTACACTTTCGTCAAACTTTTTTCAGGGGATAAGAAAATGACATTGTATCGCTTTACATGAACAGACAGACAAGAGAAGACGACTTTGTCAGTAAAGACGTCAAATTTCAAATTGCAATTAAACATCACTAGACAAGATTATTTACCTTTTCAGTTCTTGGCATTGTATTATATGCAGGGATTAAGATTACTGTGTGTTTTTGTCTCGTATGTAAAGCCGGAAATAGCAATCAGCCATGCACACGTTTCCCAGTGATCTAGTTAAAACATACTCAATAATATAACGGGATGAATTGTGCCAAAGTGATCGATAAAATATAATATCTAAAACTATTATTTTACCAAGAGAAATATATCATCTAAAACTATTATTTTACCAAGAGAAATATATCCTAGCATTGTGTAATTTTGCTTACAGGTTTTGCTCTATATAATATGTAAAATATGTATAATCAATACTAAGGTTATACGGACCCTCACAGACATGGTAAGCGGAAGTTGAACGCTCATGGAATGAGGTAAAATAAGCATGCCATTTCACACACGTTTCCACCGATGGTACTGTAAACTAGGGCCTCTATGGATGATGAGGCAGTAATCAGTTCGTGATTGTTGAGAATAATCTGAAACTGAAATTGGTGCTATCGTGGTTGGAGCGAAAAGCGTACCCTCATGAACATGGTAAGCGAAAGTTGTACGCGCATGAAATGAGATGAAATACACATGCCAGTTTGTTGTGATTGCCAACTACAATAAATATGACATTTAGCGAAACAAGATATATATGTGTATCCATTTTCTGTCAACTACACTTAATTTCGAGGCATGAGTAGACGCAATATGATTGTGATTTCTGTGAATAATGCAGATAGAAGTTATAATTATTGGTGACTGCCAGTTGTCTTGTGGTCTGAGTTGGGTATTCATAACTGTTTTTCTAAGAATTATTAGCGACAATCGATTTTGAAATTTTGCAATCGATCATCGCATTGGAAAAGGGTAACAAATCAATTATCGATTATAATCGATCATTGGAACACCACTACTTGTTTGTCCATGAAAGTAGATATTCCTTCAGATTCTGAGGGATAGATATCTTCTGTAGACTGAGGTTGTAGGGAGTGTTGTAGTGGACTAACTGCAATCTTCCTCTGCTTGTGCTGACATGAGGAGGCTTAGAAGACTCTGCCATGCTCTTATCGGTAGAGGTTCATTGAGAGCGGTTGGGAGACAAGCCCATATGCTTGCCAACCTGCCCTCGGGAACCACAATATGATGCCGAGAAACTGCAGTTCCTGTGTTGACTCTAGTTCTAATCTGATTGACTAGCCAGCCCAGTTGCGTTAGTAATTGGATTGTAAACTGTAGTTGATGTCTGAGTTGATCTGTTAATTGATGCGCTTGTATTATGCTGTCTTGATAGAAAGCACTGCGAATACCCTTCTGATGTAGAAACGCGTCTGTGGGCTTTGTCACATGTGTAAATAGCCACAGGGGCCGAGGAAATTCCAAATGGGAGTACCCTCCACTGATAATGCTGCCCCTGATATAGGAATTGTAAATACTTTCTCTAGATGTATGATGTATGGGGATATGTAGATAAGCATCTTGAATATCTCTGCTGGCTAGATAATCACTGGGTCTGATTAGATGTCGCAATTGTGGTTAGTGCAACATCTTGAACTTGTCTGGTTTTAGTAGATAGTCTTGGTTGAAACGCTTCGTATTGTACTTTGTAGATGAGGCAGAACTTCTCCTTGAAGTTCTTTTTCGGTACTAGAAAAATTAGAGAATAAAACCCCGGAGTTAGGTTGTGTAAATCTAGGATCTCTACGGCATTTTTTGCAAGTAGTGATTTGACGACTTCCATCAATCTGACTTGTTGTAGTTCGGGATACTGCTGCAGTGAGAGGCGGTGTCACCTTGAGCTGAATTACATATCCTTCTCTCAACACCTGTAGAACATAGTCGTCTTTGAGGATTCTCCAATTCTCCCAGTAGTAACCAAGACGTCCACCCATGGTTGACGGTTGTATTGGAACGACTGGGGGTTGGACTGACCAGTCGTACCGAACCTGTACTTCATTGACGAGAGCATCAGGGGGTTCCTGAAGAATGACCTCTCCCGGAACGTCCCCTTGCTTCCTTGAAATCCTAGCTGCTTTCCTGTTTTGGCTCTCTCTAAGCCGTGGAATTTCGATCGAAACTGTCCTCGATGTGATGTTTGCCGGTACATGTTATTCATAGTCTGCATAGATCTGATGAGCATCTGATCCTTGGAATCCTGGTATACTTTTCGAGACGCTGGTCTAATGCCTCCGTCAAATAAAGTTGGTGCTGCCCATGATTTATGCAGTAACAACTTAGTATAACAATCTGGCCAGTTACAGGACGACAGGAGCTGAAAGTCATCATCTATATCTGGCGTCCTGAAGAATGGATCCATGTTGTGTTAGAGAAATTCTTCCAGTTAAACGCTGGCATATGTTGTCCATGAGATCTGGTAGCATTCGTGAAAGCTGACTTGAGGTTAGACGGGACCTCTGATATCGGCTTAATAGTGGTATCGACAGTGTATCTACTTCTTCGTCTACTATGCAGTAAGTCTCTGCTGGGTTAGAGTTATGTGTTGGCGATGCTATCGGTAACCCATCTGCTATCCATGATAAGACCCCTGAGTCTGTGATTTGTGTGAAGATAGTTGAATCCTCCAATTCATGAAGATTAATATCTGAGGTCGTTGTTTCATCATGAATTGAATCGCCTATTGATTCCTGTAAAGGTCAAAATAATGATTTTCATTTATTTCACTTATAATGACCCGATTGGTTTAGGAAGTAAACATTTTAGTTAATAATATTTCCACAATGTTACCATTTCATATTGCACTAGTATTCTGCAACATTAATTAGTAATTTCTATTTCATAGTTTTTTGAAAAGCCACATTTCATTTTTGAAGAAGTGCTCATTTTATGTCAACCTTAAGATGAGGGGAGATGATTTCTTGGGGACAGAATGACCATGTGGTTTGTGCTGCAAGCACATGTGACACAGGCAGGACTCATGAGGGTCTAAAGTAATGGTAAGCCAAATGTTATTCACTTATTTTACAATTCATTTGGAGGAATTTAATGCATTTTCTTAACTTGTACCAAACATAATAAGATAATTTTTCATAATTTAGGCTTTATAGCTATTTTGGACTTGACTTGTGGAAATTGGCTTTGACTTCAAAATTTATTCACAAGTATTCTTTTGGCCTAAAGTTGGTATGAAAAATGTTTGAAATATTAAGCTTGCTGTTTATTCAATGTAATTAAGATACTGGTTTTGCACATGGTATTGTGAAAGTTTTCAAGTTTGTTTGTACTACAATTTACATTGTCCAAAATGTTTGTCACTATATTGTAGATGTGTAACTTTAGGGAACATGTTGGCCATATACTTAATTATATTTTTTCCATTTTGTTGCAGTCAATCTAATGTTTAAAAATTAGACTCAAGAATCAGAATAAATGAAGAAACAAGAATTCTAGTTTGTTATCAACAATTCCGTTGGAGTAGATTGGTTGATAGGTTGTATTTTCACTAAGCCCTGTTGTTGTTGCATGGCTAAAACCACTTGTCATGTGATATTAGTCTAAATCCTGGTCCAACGGTAGTGTAGAATTACCCGGAGGGTTCGCGAATGCTTGTGATCCAGTCGTTTTACCCTGTTGATGATGTTGAATAGTAGAAACCTTATGCGTATATGAGTTCACAGATGCATTCTCTCTCTGTTCCGGTATAGACAAAGTCGATTGATTAGCAGTAGATTGGTTCGCAAACCCTTTCAGGACATAGGTAGTTTGACAGGTTCGCGAACCCTTACGTGAACCCTGTAGAGACATAGGTAGTTCGACAGTTTCGCGAACCCTTACGTGAACCATGTAGAGACGTGTAAAATCAGTAGACTGAGGCAACTGGTTCATTGTTGACAGAGGGGTTCACGAACCCTTCCGCAAATCGTGTAGAGCTGATCGATGGGTTCGTGGATCCTGATGGTGTGGAGAAAGGTCTACGTTGCTTTCTTCTCGACGCTGGAACAGTTGATGGTTGTTTTAGCGAACCAGGATTCAAGAAAATGCATTAAATTCCTCCAAATGAATCGTCTGCTGTGAAGTTATCACAGTTTCAAGAGCTCGTGGTGATGTGTCTATATCATCATCATCTTAGACAACGCAGATGATCTCTATTTCTTAACCAGCTTCTGTAGTTCAGTTCATGTAGCTGTCTCTGTAAGAGCGACAGAGACGGGAGAGACCCCAGACGGAATGTCTGAGAGCCATCCTTATCCGCAGCTACCCTATTGTCACACCTGTTTTTCTCCATGACCATGCGTAAGCGTGCTTGTAAGTATTTATTAAACTGAAATTGTGAGAAAGGTGCACAATATTTATAACGTGAGACTAAGGAACATGAATTGTTGACACAGGAAAGACACTCAGGGTGTGGATCAGCCGCTGACATACGTAGCCTTCATTGTTTACATGCTATCATGTGGAGACAGTCATCTGAATTGAGTTTGAAAATTCGAAAATTAGTGAATATTTTCGTAAATTAATATATCATTATGATTATATATAGAATCTAAATACAGTTTACCGCCTTAATTTGTATAGATAGGCCAAAATAGGAAAGATATTAGCCGCAAAAGGGACCCATAGTGACAGCCCAACCGTCTGCTTGGGCGATGAACGAGAGAGTGATGAGAGCTAGGCTCAAGTCACATGGGACAGTTTTGGCAGGAAAAGGGAGGCAACTCAATGGGTGAGTGATTTTACGATTGTCAGGGAACTAAGGAATTCAAGTTTCCATGTAATCGTTGAATGAGTGAGTGAGTGAGTTGAGTTTTACGCTGCACTCAGCAACATTCCAGCTATATGGCGGCCGTCTGTAAATAATCAAGTCTGGACCAGACAAGCCAGTGATCAACAGCATGAGCATCGATCTGCGCAATTGGGAACCAATGACATGTGTCAGCCAAGTCAGTGAGCCTGACCACCCGATCCTGTTAGTCGCCTCTTACGACAAGCATTGGTTGCTGAAGATCAATATTCTAAACAGGACCTTCACGGGTTTGAAACCGTCGAAAGGAGAAGGGAGATAAGCAAAAAAGCATGAGTCAGGATAAGGAAAAATAATTTAACACATTATCTTGGAATAATAATTCATACGAAAATTCATTATTAATTATAACCACTACAAGCAATATATTAGGATTCAGATATTAGGAAAATATAAATATAGAATATTAGTTTCCTTATGTATCAGTAATAGCTTAGAGGTGAAATTGGGTTTAATGTCGTGCTTGAGAATATTTCGCTCATATGACGATGTGCATGCGTGTGTATGTGTATGTGCTGCTGCTTGTAATAGCCCAGACTTAAGCTGGTTTTATAGTGCTAGCCCACTGAGATACCACGCCGCAGTGAAGCATGAATACCCCACTCAGACACATTATACTGACTCGGAGCCGACCAGTCCTTGTTGTACCCATTAATGCCGAGCACCAGGCAGGGACCAACAAGTACCATATTTTAACGTCTTTTGGTATGACGCGGTCAGGGTTCGAACCCGCGACCTTCCGCTCTCTGGGCGGACGCTCTAACCACTACACCATGGAGGCGGTCCGTAATAGCTTAGAGAAAGACTCCAGTCAAAAGTAGTAAAACTCATCTCACAGACATACTATTGAAAAAGGTATAAGTTACGGCTGCACAATTTTACAGATGTTCAAGATAAATCCTGGCCTAAGGTTTCAAGGACTCAAACCTTTCAGTAAGACAAAGTAATGTCCAGACGATTTAATGAACTGCTTTGATAAAGTAAACAGTTCAGTTTTAGATAAATAGTCACCAACTCTGATTGTTTTTCAGTAAGGTTTAGACTCCCAACACAGGTCATCTCTAACCCTCAGCCCAGAGGGTTGTACCGACTCTCTGTGGCCACCCCATGTTATTTTTGTTCTTGTTAATAAAATTGTAATTAGCTTCTTGTGACTTCGGACTCTTTGCTGAGCTAATTCCCCCAAGCAGACCAGCACGCCAGTTAGATAAGAGGTTTCACCAGAACCATCACTTGGACTCGAGAACCCTATGATAATAACATACTCATGGAACAAGAGAAGTGTATTTTTGCAACAATCCTGATGGTAACATTCACTAATATAAATTTGTGTACAGCCTCAAAAACCTATTTTTATAAGAGGAAGGATATTATTTTATACTCATCCTGACTCATACTTTTTGCTCATCTCTCATTTTCCCAAAAAGTAGCGGATACTTCATGTGCTCTGTTCCCAAAGAACAGGAAAACATTTCGTCTGATTGCACCATTGCCCTGCGCAGGTGCACCTGAATGACATGACCAACCAGGTTGACTACATAATCTTTCCATTTTTGCCCAACAGATGACTGGACAATTAACACTTAAGCAGTTGGTAGTACCATGAGGGGTGACTGGATAATTACCTTGGCAGTACTTACCCTCTGAGCAACAAACACTTCATAGACACAACAGATGCCGATAACTGTGATTCCCTGTTCTTTACATAGCATTGCTACTGTAACCAGACACACTGTGGTTAGCAACCATGTGTAATCTGAAAGATAACAATTAGGAAAGCTTATCCTACCTGTCACTGTTATACACGACTTCTTGTTAGCATACATATATATATATATATCAATATATGAATAAAACAACGATGAGTCCAGATATTTCTTCTTGCCAAAACTCCTTTATCTGCACAAAATATTTCACCATTATATATATTTATATTTATTTATTTGGAAATTTATGCAAACCTGTAGAGGTTATGAATTCTTTGAAGAAAGTCCTCCTTGGGGTACATATAAGCATTTAAATGTCCATTTTAAATCCTACGACAGTTGTAGCTATATTTTTTAATATAATATTTACTAACAAAAAACTCATTTCGTCTTGTGACACCACACCTACAGGGCCCCACCGGACCCCCTACAGCCAAGAGCAGGTAACTCTCGCTGTCTACCTTGTACCTCACTTTTCATGCTGAACGTGTCAGACAGAATGAGGGGAGGCTGGTAGCCGTACCCCAAGGAGGACTTTCTTCAAAGAATTCATAACTTCTACAGGTTTGTATAATTCTTTTTCAGAAGAAGTCCTCCATGGGGTACATATAAGCATATGACAGACCCCCAAAGATATTTGAGACGGGAGTGGCATTCTGTCTGGCAACAACTAAACCTGTGGTGGAGTGAAATCTACAACCGATACGTAAATAGAAAAAAAAACACTTACCGAGCCACCTGACCACTGATGTCAATCAGGCGGGGGCGTGGCTAGGGCGGGAACTAGAGAGCCCAAGCTTATACGTCAATTGGCTCAAATCAATTATGACATAAAACCCCACCCCCAACCATTACAATGGAAAGGAATGTATGGGGACATGCCGAAACAACTCCCAACCCTAATATAGCCCCAGCCAGAGAAGCGTGGCAAGAGGTATAAGGGTAGGGAAAGAGTACAAAATTTAAACGCTTAAAAGCCAATAACCCAGGAGTCGAGCTAATAAGTACTGCAAACTAATGCTCAAATGCACCCCTCCTGTTTGGAAGAGGGCTTGCCGGGACCTCGATAAAACCCAGAGAAATTATTAGCCTCGCTAAAAACTTTCTGAGGAAATCGAATGAGTACAACAAACGCCATGCATAGTATGAGTGAAAAACAGGATAAAACACCCCCACCAAACACTCTCGGCGTGAGAAAGGGTAAGTGTAGACCACCATCCCACAAAATACTGAATAACACAGACTCCCAAATACCGAAGTCTCGGGAAGAGGGAAAAAACTGTTAGCGTACAAAAATCCCCTGAATAGTGAAAAGCGTAGCCGAACATGTGTTGGCTCACTATTACACTAGCCTGGTCACGTGACATGCGGCTCGAAAGAGACGCATATACCAAACAGTGATCTGTGGGGGGTTCCTACCCAATTCCGTCGCAAGACGGGTTAATAGCATATGACTGGTTAAAGCTTTCAAAACCGGCCCGCCCTCTTGCCTTTAAGTGAAGAGGACGTAAGGGACGTATGTACACCAAAACCCGACCCAACCCAAAAGGGTGGTAGGCTTATACGATGTAGTGATATGAACCATATCAACATTGAACACAGAACCGATACCAATGACCAGTTACTTACTTGGTCAGGGTGGCAGGACACTCTCCACTTGAGAGAACTGAAAGACCAAACCGAGCACGATCCTTAGAATGCATGTCAAGTCGGTAATGGCGAAAGAAGGCCTTCTGCCGGCTCCAAAGAGCGACAGAACCGATCTCTTCATTGAGCAGTGCTGCTGTGTATTGCCAACAAAGCGGCATCTGCCCTACCCAGTCCACCTTCAACCCCTCGGGGGAAGTTAAACCATAGCATTGTAACCGAACAATTACGGAAACAAGCCAACGAGATAAAGTCCGCTTGCTAGCAGACTCCCCAGTCTTCCCGCCACCAAACAGAACACATGGGTACCTGTACAGATCCCTTTTGTTCGTTCGTTACAGTCACGGGTGAGCAATCGAAAGATTGGTCCCCGGTGTGGAAGGCTGGGTAGGGGGAAGAAGTTCGATATGAGCAGTCACGTGGAAAGCAATATCGAACTGAGAGTGGTAGGTATCCGGGGGAGGCGAATACGGACATGATCAGTATAAAATACTGTCAGTGTCGGGTCAGTGGGTATCGTATGGATGTACTCGACACTTCTACCAGAGCTCACCACCACAAGTAAAGCCGTCTTCCACGTCAACAAGTGAAGTGAGAGAGACGATATACTTGAAAAGTCAGGGCAAGACAGCCAATTGAGAATAATTGGCAATTTTAAAGTGGGCTGGGTCGCCGACGAGGTGGTCGAACCCTGTTCATGAAAGCTACGAAGCGCTGTACGAGAGGGTGCTGCCTAGGCAGAGCACCATCGAACGAGGTGTGAAACGTGGAAATAGCCATGGAGTACCTGGGAATGGTGGAGGTCATAAGGCTCTCAACCAAAACGAGGTTATAGGAACTCCAATATCCAAACTAAATCCGCAGAATAGGGATTATGAAATCCCCCCTATCTGCACACCAGCACGCCCCACCTATCAACACACTGAACGGGTGTCGAATCCCGCCTCAAAGCCAGAATTGTGTCTGCAACGGTTGCAGGAATTCCGCGTGTCTGGGGGTTAGACTCTACAGAGGCCAAGCCACCAAGTGAATCCGAGGATTCGGGTGTGGCGCCCTGTTCAGAGTAAGAATGTCTGTTCGAAAAGGTAATTCGAATCCAGGTGTGTGGGATCGAACACTAACGCCCAGAAAATCGCCCCAACCCGGTAGGGATGTATCTGGCTGGACTGAGAGAGACGGTGTCTCCAGGGGGAGCCCCTCGGAGAGATGCCTGACGTCTGTCCATCTGACTGTGTGAGGTTGACAATTCGGCCCAGTTTAGTAAGAGTGACCAACACTGATCGTGAGGTCCCCAGACTCAACAGTTATTCTAAAACCACTGATGAGCCAGTCGCCTAGGTATGGCTGACAACACCGGCACTGCGATCTGGCTATCTGGGCTGTAATAAACCTAAATATGGTGAACACCCTTGGCGCCGTAATGTAGCCTAAGGGGAGCACACGAAACTGGTAGCGCATCCCGTCAAACAAGAACCGAAGGTAAATCTTGAAATCAGGGTGCAATGGAACAAGGAGGTACGCGACCTCGAGGTCGATTGACGTGCGCCAATCCCCTGTCTCAACAGATAAGATCACCCAGCGCGGTGTCTCCATCTTGAAGGACAGTACCTCTATTAACTTGACAGTAAACCCCTGCAGTCGGCAACATAACGTTTGCCGGTGCCTGGGCACCTGAGGAATTAACGAGAAAGCTAGACAGACTTCCATATTCCTGGAAACAGTCCCGGGCACCATAGGCACATAACCGCACTCATCATTTGGCTGGCACAGCTACAATGCAGTCCCTAGCCAGATGAGAGTTGACCTCTGTCAGATGCCGCCCAGAGTCGCTGATGAAAAAACAACCGGCGCTCTTTCCCCTTTCCACCAGCTCCACATGGGATGCGCCGAGTGGAGCATACAGCATTGAGCTGTTAAGGGGAAAGAAAGGCAGACTGACGGTAGAGTATGAGACCTTGTCCCAGATGCCTTGCTGGAAGCAGGCTTCCCTCCAGGAGGCGAACCCCAACGGTTCGGGTATTCGACGTGGACAACACCTGAGGCAACACAGCCGCAATTCTATCTCGCACTTGCCTCAGGGACGAACCTACTCAGTGGTAAGTTCAAAGTAGCGAAATGAGCCGAAGATCAAATCGACTTGTCCACTGTACGAGCCTGAACCCCGGTTCCGAGGCACATGGGAGAAGCCTGATAAATCAAGGTTTCCCAAGCACCTCGGAGCGTCGAGGTGACCGACACACCCGGCACACTCGATAGCTTCTTGGTCAAGATATCGATAGACATCAGGCAGAGACCTGAACTACCGGCGCCGGGAATCTGCACCCTACCAGTGCCGAAGCCCGGGTCGGTGCTACTCACAGGGTTCAGAGCATCCACGGAGGCGTAGCTCGGCGGTTCCAGACCAAACCCCGACCCTGAGACACGTAGGGGTAGCCTGATAAATCAAAGTTCCCCCAGTACTCTCCAAAAGCGCACTAGTCAAACATAGCCTATAGCGCCATATAAATACCCATACATATATATATAAGTGCTCGGGTCGGCGGTTCGAGTTCAGGTCGGTGCTAGTCCTCAGGTTCAGAGAGTCCGAACCCCAGTCCCGAGACCTAGGAGGTCGGACCCGAGCCGCGGGGCTGAGGCAACAAGGTAGGAACTGCCGAAGCAGGCCGCCCAGTGTGCCCAGCCAAGCCTCTGGGCGCCGAGGGACCTGGTTGCCCAGGTATGCTCAGACGCCCATCGGCGGCAGACAAATCCTGCGCCCTACTGGGGCCGGAACCCGGGTCGGCACTAGAAACAGCAGACAGACCATCCCCCGAGCCGAGACTCGGGGTAGGTTGGCCAGGGATAGGTGCGCTCACCTGGCCTGAGCCCGGGCCGCCACCGTCCCCAGCAGAGACACCTGGACCATCGAGATTAACACGTTTCAACGCTAGCTCCTGACAGAGCCCGGACATCGCGCTATCAATCATCGACTTTACATTAGTCATCTGCTGCTGCATATGTTGCTGAAATAGTGAAGCAATTGAGTCAATATTTAAGGCAGCAACATTTTGTGGGGGAACGATGAAGGGATTTCTTTAGAAACCTTTCATCAAATATTATCCCCCGCCTGGAGCAGATTAGTGAAAAACATAAAATCTGCGTGCCTGAAAGAATGCGGGTGAGGCGCAGAAACCCAGGCAAAAAACACAACCTCGGCCATCTATGAGCCACGTTGTGTGTAAACGTATGGAATATGTATATGTGTAACATAACACAACATAAAGTAACAGGAATATTGACGCAAGGGCGTTTATTATGAACATCCTTGATCGTCGTGAGCGTCCTCGGCTAAACACCGGAGGCACACTTTATGACCATCCTGTGGCGGTAGTGTGCACGGCACAATGCACAGGGCTTAAACTGC